AAAAAAAAAAAAAAAAAAAAAAAAAAGTCCTAAGCAGTCAAAGTCTATGCTACAGATTTTCCTGCTCTGGAGATTTCAAATAAATGAGTAGTTTTATCCTCAAGTATTAAACCACTGAAATTGAAAAATAATAGGCAAGCATTTTGCCTACTTTTATTCTATTTCCTGACCAATGAAATAAGACTGGAAAATGAGCTAGAAAAGTATTTATCTGCTTGGCCTCTGTTGAACTTTCCTGCATATTTTCCTTTTCTGCTTCTTCTCTCTCAAAGGTAAACTACTCCAGAATTGATTTATGCAGCTTAGTAGGCCCAACAAATCAAAATATTCTTACAAGAGCTCAACAAAAGTTTCTGACTCACAAAATAATACAAGCTGGTAGAAGTACCAAGAGTATGTTCAGCACTCATAATTTTCAACATGTTCATTCGGAATCCACATAATTTCTTCTATGGCCTATACCACATATKTTTCCCATCCAAACAAAATATATTAAATCTATTTTCATTTTAATAAATCTGCAAGGCACACACTATATCATATTATGGGTTTTATGGAACAGACTTACCAATCTTTTTAAAATTGATACATAGCACTTGTACATATTCTTAGGATTCTACACATTTTTGTAGCTCAATGGTAAAGTAAAGCATTTTCCTCACATGCATAAGGCCTTAGGTTTGTTCACCAGGACTAAAAAAAGATTTGTATATATTTATGGGATAACATGTGATATGTTGATAGAGGTATACTTTTTGTAGTGTTTAAATTAAGATATAGAATGGACTCTTGTGCATTGGAAAGAAAATTATATAACTGACTTAATACAAAATTTAAGAATTTAAAGAGAATTTTTAGATTCTTATGAGAGAAGCTGGAAATATGCAACTAACTCAAGGAGAAGAAAATCAATTTATTAGAGATGATGAGAAATAAAAAGGTAGAAGTTGGGGTTGGGGGTATAGCTCAGTGGCAGAGGACTTGCCTAGCATGTTTGATCAAACTTTCCAGGTTTAATCCCTAGCACTTTAACAAACAAACAAAAGCAGAAGTTGGAGTGGTGCCCCTCTTCCTATTTAAAATAGTAAAGAATGAAGAATGAAGCTTCAATAGCTTACAGGAGAAAAGCTTTAATCTTTCTTTTTTTTTTTTTTTGGTACTGGGGATTGAATCCAGGGGTGCTTAATCCCTGAGCCACATCCCAACCCTTTTTAAATATTTTATTAGACAGGGTCTCACTGAGTCATTAAGCCCCTGAAAGTTGCTGAGGCTGGCTTTGAACTCATGATCCTCCTGCCACAACTTCCCGAGCTGCTGGGATCATAGGCATGCACCCAGCTAAAGCTTTCATTTTTGCTTCTGGCCACTTGTACTCAATTCACCAGTCTGTAAATTGAGAATAATGAATTTATTAGCTTTATAGATCTAGGACTATACAACTACTGTTTATTTTGAATACAGTAAATCTCCTAGAAATTTCATAAGTGGAAAAATAAAAACCTTGAACAGGCTGAGTAACCCTTATCTGAAATGTTTGGAACCAGAATTACACACAGCCTGAAGGTAATTTTATACAACATTTAATATATCTGCATTTTAACTAGAACCATCACAAGGTCAGGTATAGAAATTTTCCATTTGTTGTATAATGTTTCAGATTTTGAAGCATTTAATATTTCAGACTAGGGATACAGTAACCTATTCTACAATATCAAAACTGCACTTGTAGAGGAAAAGGGAGGAGAATGACTATTAAAGAAGCACAAGGAGATTTTCTGGAGTGATGAAAAGGTTTTAAATTTTGGTTGCAGTAGTGATTATATGACAGTATACAATCACACAGCTCAAGCTATACTGATACAATGAGTGAATGTTATTCTAAGTGTAATATATATCAATAAACCGGACTTTTAAAAATCTGATTGTTTAAGTCCTATTCTGGATTCTTTTATTCTTTCAGAACACAGAATACATACCTGGATGATGCACAGAACTCAAACATTCATTCTGTAGGCCATTCTCATTTTTAGTCCTATCAACTACTTTCTGGCATGCAGATTCTCCTTTATTGGATTCTTCATTTTCACTTGCAGTATGATTTATTTTTTTCACACTACATTTCACACTGCATATGTTTCTCCGATAACAAGGGTCACTTTCTTCCTGTCCAGCACTTGAATCAGTTACAGCTAGGCAATGTTTTTTATTTAGCATCTTCTTAATTACAGGCTTGGCAGAAGAGTTTTGTGAACAACTGTCCATTTCACTGGCAGAAGGAGAAGAAATACAACTATCTTCTATAGTTGAACTTTTTTGTATGACTGCATTTTCATGGTAATGAGGATTAGGTTCATACTTTGGTTTTTCCAAACCAGGGAAACACACAACAGCCAAAAACCAGTGTGCGCTGTAAAAAACAAATGAAACTACTAAATATGTTATTAGGAAAGTTTATTATATTCGGTAGTAAATACCAATTAAATGTTTTTTTCTAAAGCTTTTGTGAACAAATGTAACAATGCTAATTTTTTTCAATTCTCAAATCATTTATACCTGTTTTCATGTGTATGTATGACCACTGTTAACAATACAATGTCTATTCAAAAATAACACAAATTTTTATTAAAACCATGTAGCCTAATATATATATATATATATATATTTTTTTTTTTTTTTTTTTGAGGGGTATAACAAGGACTGGAGTCAGGGGCACTTGACCACTGAGCCACATGCCCAGCCCCATTTTGTATTTTATTTAGAGACAGGGTCTCACTGAGTTCCTTAGCACCTCGCATTTGCTGAGGCTGGTTTTGAACTTGCGATCCTTATATCTCAGCCTCCTGAGCTGCTGGGATTACGGGTATGTGTCACTGTGCCTGGCTCTGAATTCACTTTTTTTTTTAATTTGTTTTTTAGTTGTACATGGACAAAATATTTTTATTTATTTTTATGCGGTGCTGAGGATTGAACCCAGTGCCTCGCATATATGAGGCACGCTCTGTAATGCTGAGCTATAGCCCCAGCCCCTGAATTCACTTTTAAAGAATCTTCTGATCTGCTTCTTGTTTTTAAAATGAAAAATTCCTTTTAAAAACCTTTCATCAGGCTGGGGTTGTGGCTCAGTGGTAGAGTGGTTGCCTCTCATACGTGAGGCATTGGGTTCGATCCTTAGTACCACATAAAAATAAACAAACAAGGGGCTGGGGTTGTGGCTCAGCAGTAGAGCACTTGCCTAGCATGTGCGAGGCCCTGGGTTCCATCCTCAGCAYCACATAAAATAAATAAATAAATAAAGGTATCATGTCCAACTACAACTAAAAAATGAAAATATTAAAAAATAAACATTATTGTGTCCATTAAAAAATTTTTTTTATCATGTCTGCTTTTATTATTAATAAGTAGGAAGGAAAATATGTATATGAATAATCCTTTGTTTCATGCTATATTGAAATGTATCTACTCTAGTCATTGTTACAAAATTTCAAGCATTAGTAAAGAATTCCAGCCATCAAGTAGATGCTGGCATGTTGCTGAATTCTGGTATCACAGCTCCCAACCATAGAGTACAGATCCTAAGTAAGAAACTGTACCTTCCTGGCTCATATTCATTAAACTAACAAATTGTTTTGAAAAACATTATTTAGTAGGGAAAGGGATATGTGTTGGGATATAATGAACAGTCTATATAGATAGATATTAGAGAACTTAATAGATAAGCACAATAKCTCTCATTTGATAGGGTGTTTGATAAATTTTGGTGAATCAAAAAATAAGTACTCTGAATGGAAAAAAGTTATTCCACATTCTCATTCCTGCAAAATGCTAGATTATCCCAAGCTAGTACTAAGAAACAGCACTATGTCTTCACCTGACAGGATCCAGTAGAAAGGTCATAAAGACTTGCTTCATTATCAGTAAATCAAATGCCAGATGGATGAATGTTTTTTTYCCTGTTCTTAATTATTAATTCTTAATATAGATTTAGATAAAGACTAGGGCAGTAGAAAGAACACACCAACTTTTTCATTTCAATCTAGGACACAGATGACTATAGGGCACATCTCAGTTTTAGAATGTTAATATGCTGAAAATGTGTTTGAAAAATTGATGAATATGGTGTAACATGGTGTTCAACCTACAGCTATAATCTTAGCCTGTTATTTATTTTTTTAAACATTTCTTAACTTTGTCAATGTAGATAAGCTTTGATTTCTGTTGCCTCTCCTAAAAACTATGGAAAATAATCCTTTTTTGCTGAAAGGAGAAAGCTGAATCAGATGATCACTTATAATCTCAGAGAACCAAGGWTGCTTTTATAAACCATTTTATTTTTTAGTTAAAAAAATTTTGCTTTTTGTCTATTAGTAACTGAATCAAGGGGCATTTTATACCCCTGAGCTACATTCCCAGCCACCACCATCCCCTTTACAAAAATCTGAGAAAGGGTCCAAGTTGCTAAGTTTGGCCTTGATCTTGTGATCCTCTTGCCTCAGCTTCCCTAGTCATTGGAATTATAGACAGGCATATACCACTGCACCCAGCTTATGAGCCATTTTAATAGTAGCTACATTAACCTTAAATTACCAATGGGAGAGAGGCTGAACAAGGCAATTTCACTTATCTTAAATTGAACTATATCCAAATATCAAATCTTTATTCCTTGACAATAACTATAGCAGTTTTTAACAGTTTACAAACTTAAAAAAATAAGCATAATCAGAAAAATAAAACAGTTGACAAATGTGATAGCCAATCTAATATTAATTAGTAAATATCTGTGGCATTAACTTTCTGAAAAACAAAACAGGGGCCTTGTGACTTATAGGCTTTTTTTTTTTTTTTCATCTATAAAAGGTATATTCCTCTTATGAAATCCTTTAGTGGCCCTTCATCTTTACTCATTCTTCTCTCACCAGGAAGATTAGAAGCACTGACAGTAGTTTCCATACACAGATATAGTGACTAAAAGGGATATGCCTCTGTCCCTAAATTATATGTGACTCAAATTGTACTACTATTTTAAATATATAATTCATTTCTCACAAATAACTTTCTTACTTACTAGTACCTCATGTGTTACTTACATAATAAATTTAAAGAAAATTTATCTTGGAGAGAATAAAGAAATTAATGTTCAGTTAGTTTTAAATTTTGTTATAAGATTACAACTTAAAATATATGTGTGTGTGTGGATATACACACACACACACACACACACACACACACACACACACACACACACATATATACGTATATATGTGTTCTGACCTAGGTTATCTGTCTTTGCTTGGGCTACGATGTAGAGCACACAGGCCTCATAATTAAAACATTTTTCTTTTTGGGGGGTGACAGGGATCTAACTCAGGACCTTTTAAATGCTAGTCAACTGCTCTACCATTGAGGTATATCTTAAGCCCCTAAAATACAATTTATTTTAATTAGTTAATTAATATATTCATGTTTTAGAGACATGATCTCACACTGTTGCCCAAGCAGGCCTTAAATTCCTGAACTCTTGTGTTCATCCTACCTCAGTCTCTTAAGAGGATGGGAATATAGGTGTATATCACTAAAGCAGATTTTAAATCTGTTTTTCAAAGAAACAAAAGGAAAACAAAGCATATTCAGAAGATAGACTGGCACAGCTAGGCTTATTAACATAAACAATCTCAGTCAAGTTTACTCAAACCACGATAAAAATAACACAAAGTAAGGCCATAATTTGTCTAGGCAGGGGAGAACGCTAGGTTACAGTRCAATCCACAAAAGAGCAAACATCTCCCTCTTTTACTAAATAAGTGAATGCTACTTCATTACCCAAGAAAACTACCTCAGACTCTCCCCCAAACCAAAGCCCAAATTCTCTTATACTTTCTTTTAATGAGAGACCACAGAATTGCTGATGGTTTATTTCTCCCAMGTTATTTGACTCCAGGTAAATTTCCAGTGGTCTTTGGCTGAAAAGCATAGGAAAACAAAACAAAACAAAAGTGAGAGCAAGAGAGAAATACAAAAAAACTCAATCTGAGACAGGAGGATTATATTCAAGACCAGTCTGGGCAACTTAGGGAGACTATCTCAAAATAAAATTTAAAAAGGGCTGAGGATGTAGTTTAGTGACAGAACACTTACATAGTATGTAAGACTCTGGGTTAAACCCACAGTAAAACACACACACACACACACACACACACATACACACTCACTCACTCACTCACTCACTCACTCATTCATTCACACACCAAACCACCACCACCTTGGAAGTCTGAATTGTATTAAAATTCTATTTTACATATCAATGCCTCTATGGTCAAGGGAGATATACAGGGATGATAATACAAAGTACTTATGCTTCTCCATTTACTTAGAAAACTGTTTCAAATAGCATGATTTTCAATTTGATCAAATGCCATTAATCCAACCACCTTCCTCTTTGGTTAAAAGCAAATGTGTGTTTTAAAATATTCAAATCCATCTATGTAACTAAACATCCTTTGGTGTTAACATTTTCTCTACCACAAGCATCACTGTTTTTGTTTGAATGACTTTACTCTGCATTGATCTATAAAAAATATTAGAAAGGTATCTATCTTTTTTTTTTTAAACAAAATTCAGTACCTGGGAAACTGCATTAATTTTTATAAAACAGGCATATTCAATACTTATGACAAGTTTCAAAATGTGGTTTTAAAATGGATGAATTCTTTACATTCTAAACACATATTTAAAAAGTACCATCACATTGACAAAAATTTTTTACTCACGCTTCATTAAGGGGTACAAAAATAAAATCCTTCTCAAAAATATCTACATGCCGGGTCCATGTTTTTACTCTCCCATGCCGTTTTTGTTGTATTCTGTAAGAAAGATAAACTATAAGCTTCTGAATTGTCTCAATGTTTTAGCTTATATGCAGTGATTTACAAATTATGTAGATTCACATATAACAGCTTCAAAAATTGTATAAGACAGTTTAAGAAGCTAGGAAAAGAAAATAGAACATCTTAGATAAAATGATGAAGGCATGAAACTGCCCATCATTGAATATGGAGGAAAGAGATATTTAATTCCTATTGGCATAGCCTAGGGGCTCCAATAATTCTCTTGCCTGGACTTCTGTCTCTACTTTTCTTATTATGCAAAACTGGTACTAGCAGCTATACAGTGAGGGGCAGGCATAAGAGCATGATTTATGGTAACTAAGGAGAAGAAAGCAGGAAAACAGCATCAACTGACATTAGATGAAGCAGGATAGATTATGAGCACAGGTCAAAATCAATGACTATCAACAACTCTAAAATGCAAATTAGGAATTGTTAAAATAGAAAATATTTATATTATACACAGCAGCAATCAATTCAAGACATTAAACAGTTAAATGAGTATGTACAACTCCTGTGTGTACCTATTTGACCTATTACCAGTCAAGAATTAGAGCTGGATGCCATCACTATAAGGAGAGGAATTATAAATAAAATAACTCAGATGTTAACTTGTCTATGAAGAACCATCCAAATAACTTATTTAAAGTACAGATTCACAGGTTTCTCTTAGACATTATAGATGGAAGAGCTAGAGTAAAACAGAGCAATCTGCATCTAAGCAATTTTTAAAATTCAGTCATATTTGGAAAGCACTATTCTTGATATTACACCCATAACATTTATAAATTCTAGGTATTCTGGGGATATTAGAATATTATTGATTACATTAATCTTACAAACTAGTAATAGTAATAAGTGATATGGATTCAGTAAGAAATTTAAGAAAAATTATACCCTAGAATTAGTGCAGGATTATTTTAAGGCAGTTAAACACAAATCTGTAAAAAATGAAAATAAACCTATTTGATGCCTCTCCTGGCTGTACAATTTAGAAAATAAGCAAGTAAATTGCAGAGATTTCTATTTTCTTTTAAATACTAATGGCACTCCATTCCACATTCATGAATTCAACCAAGGACAGAAAATATTCTGGGGAAAAATTGCATCTATACTGAACATGTATATATATATATATTTTTTTTCCTTGACATTATCACCTGAAGAATATAATGACTATAAATAGCATATTACATTATCATTAGAGATGATTTAAAGTATACAGAGGATGTGCCATAGGTTATATGCAAATACTGCACAATTTTACATACTTGATCATCTCCAGATATGGGTATCTGCATGTGGGGTAGGGGAAATCTGGAATCAAACTCCCAAGGATACTGATTGATAACTGTTAAATGATTTTTTTACAAAATTAAAATTGAATCTTATTACATCTGTTAAAATATTTTCAGTCTGACTTACGACAGATTGGTTGTTTCATGATTTCTCCTCTCTCTCTGATTAAGGCGTTTATAGAAAAAAGAACTGAATATATGAATTCGGTCAGCTTCTTCTTTCTTCAGTTTTTCAAGCACCAAATATCTATTTTAAGCAAAAATAATTTCGATGTAATAATTTAATTCATATTAAAATTAACCAGTCATGCAGTAATAAAATATTTATTTAGCTACCATTAAACTCTATTCCTTAGAAATGAACGAACTTATTGGCAAACTTTTGGACAATGATAATGACCAGATTATGTTTGGATAATGAAAAATAGTATTTTAGAGTAATATTATGACTTGAAAGATATAATAATTTAAAATTAAGGATACACTTTAAATCAAAGAGTAAAGAAGGCATATGTCCACGCAAAATTTATGCATGAACATCAGCAGCAGCGCTGTTCAAAAATTGTCCAAAAATGTAAATGATACCRGACACGGTAGCACACGCCTATAATCCCAGCAGCTCAGGAGGCTGAGATAGGAGGATCATAAGTTCACCGCCAGTCTCAGCAAAAGCGAGGTGCTAAGCAACTCAGTGAGACCCTGTCTCTAAATACAATAAAAAATAGGGCTGAGGAATGTGGCTCAGTGGTTACGTGCCCCTGAATTCAATCCCTGGTACAAAAAAAAAAAAAAAGTAAATGACAGAATTGCCTATCAAATAATGAATGGAAAAATAAAATGTATATGGAATAATATTCAACAATAAAATGAAACAAAGTGGTAATACACATGACAACAGAGAATAACCTTAAAAGCATGCTAAGTAAAAGAAACTACTTGTTAAGAACCACATATTATATGCTCCCATTTACATAAAAATTCCAGAATTGCAAATGCATTAACAGAGAGAAGACTGTTGGTTACCTGAGGCCTTTGGTAGGTTGAAAAAAAAAAAAAAAAAAACAGGCAGTAACTACTAACAGGTACTGGGGTTTCTCTTTTGGATAATGAGAATGTTCAGATGTTGACTGCGGTGAGAGTTTTATAATTTTCAAATATAATAAAAAAAATAACTGAACTACAGACTTTAGAAGGGTGATTTGCAGGGTATGTGGACTGTAGTTCAATAATTATTTTAATACTATTCATTTCATTTTAAACAGTTTAGTTAATCAATCTTAAAGACTCAACTATATACTACTTTTTATGAAAATAAAAGACACAAAGAATCCTGGCAGTGGTGAGGTTATCGACAATGTCTCTTTAAAGTGACCTTTTACTGGTTCTAATTTTTCCTTACCTTAGTTTTCTGTAAATTTATATGAAAACAAATTGAAATGCTCCTTTATGTTGCAAAGGGAAATTGTTATAATAAATTTATTTGTTTTAAACTTTCTCATAGGAGCTATGCAATCAAGCTATGGTCACATTCATTTTACTCAAGTGAAGATAGTCTAATTGCCTTGTGAAGTCTTACACAGAAACACCAAATGCTTAAGAGGTGTGTTCTCTCAGAGGGCAGGCACAGTTTTGAAACCTTTTACTTTTATAATTCCAAAGCTCAAGTTCTAATGAAAAGGAAATAACGTAAAATATTTCTTACATTCAAGCAACTCAGTGTGCTCCTACAAAACAATAAGTTCTGACACAAAGTAAACTGATTATTATTTCTGCAATAATATACTCAGAAAGCAATGTGTACTAACTTAGCTCTAAGTTYAGGAGCTAAACCACAGAGGGGGAACTATTTTACTTTTGCTGGCCCAAATCACAATGACTACTYTATAAAAACTTTATAAAACTGAACTGAATAAACAAAGAGATAATTCAACTTAAAATGTAAAGTTGGGCTGGGGATGTGGCTCAAGCGGTAGTGTGCTCGCCTGGCATGCATGCGGAGCTGGGTTCGATCCTCAGCACCACATACAAATAAAGATGTTGTGTCCGCCGAAAACTGAAAAATAARTATTAAAAAATTCTCTCTCTAAAAAAAATGTAAAGTTATTTGTGATTAAAAGAAAACTAACTACTTCATATATAAACAAATTRTTGTCTTTTAAAGAAACTAGTTTTGTCTTTCAGTTTTAACTCTGAACTACCCATAAATAATTGTGTGAATACAGTTCTGGTTGTTTTAAATATACATGTATTATAATTATTGATTTTACTAAGAAGTTATGTTTCAGTTTATAATTAAAGACAAAATCCAAGTTTACTGGAAAAAAAAAAAAAAACTCTTGGCCTTTTCTTCCATTTGGGTACATTAATGCACATCAGTGCATAAGCCATTTTAATATTGACTGTTGTGGTCAAATAGTTCACGCTATCTCAAAAAGTACAAAATCTATAACAAGATAACATTTAACTTTAACATTTGAAAATGATTTTAAGGTTAATCTACAACTACACGAAAGTGATTTTCTAAGTATTTTTATTAAAATAATCCTTTTTCTCTGCATCGTATTAACATTTCCCAGATGCCATGTTTTCCTGCTTCTTGAAAAGTTGGCAAACTTTGTTTAAAAGTTTGTTTCTAATTTGTAGAGCTAGAAATAGAGAAGAATGAAGACGTATTCATTTTTTTTTTAATATTTATTTTCTAGTTCTCGGCAGAGACAACATCTTTGTTGGTATGTGGTGCTGAGGATCGAACCCGGGCCGCACGCATGCCAGGCGAGCGCGCTACTGCTTGAGCCACATCCCCAGCCCCGTATTCATTTTAATAGTAAAGCTTCCTTTTAATTTCACTTCTAAGAATGTCATGAGAGAAATATCAATAGGTTATTTAAAAATAATTATTTTTAATTTTAATTTTTATTAGTACTATGCTTGTATCAGAGAAGGCAGACTAAGTTTAACTATATGAAATCTGTCTTAAAGCCTAACTAAAATATGAGGAAACTCCTGAAATATAATAATGATTATATCTTAAAAAGTGTAATTATTTCTGTATGAAATAGACAAAACAGAACATAAACAAAATACAGGAGTTCAACTATTTTTTAAATTCCACTATATGTTTTAAAAAACAAACAAATATAAAGACCCAGATTAAAAGTAAAGGGATGAAAATGTGTACACCATGCAAATGCAAATTAAAAGAACCTGGAAGAGCTATATTCATTTTGAACAAAGCTCTTAAAAAAACAAGGAAGATTATCAGAGAGAAAGAGGGATACTTTGTAATGATAAAGGTGTAAACTCTACAAGATATAAATAACTGTATATGTACCTAACAACAGACCTTCAAAATACATGTGGCTTCAAGAACAGATATAGAAGATTTCAAAGAAGAAAGACAAGTGCATAATTAACGTGGGATATTTCAATAACCCTTCTCCATAAGCGACAGAACAACCTGGCACAAAATCTGTAGGGATAAATGACCTTAATAGCCCTATCAACCAAATTGACCTAATCAACAATCATGAACACTCCATTTAACAATAGCAATGTTGTTCTATACATTCACTTCATGCTTCTTATTCTTAGTAGCTTGACTTGTTCAAGTAGTAGAGTATAAATCAGGACTGAGATAACATTTTCTTAAATTGTAGTAAAAACAAAATTTACCATTTTAACTATTTTAACTAAGTAGTTCAGTAGTGTACAGTATATTAATACGGTTACAAATTAAAGTATGCATTATTCCATTTTGGCAAAAATGAAACTCTACATCCAATAAACAGTTTCTTTTTCTCCCTCCTCCAGTACCTGGTAACTATCAATTATACTGTCTGTTTCTATGAATTTGATTACTTTGGATATCTCATAAGTGTGATCATACAGCATTTGTCTTTYTGTGACTTATTTTTCACACAATGCCCCAAAATTCGATCCTTGAGACTGTAGTTACAATTTCCTTCTTTTTGAGAATAATATTCCATTATATGTATAATGTCATATTTTACTTATCCATTTATCCATCTATGGACCATTAAATGATTTCCACCTCTTAGCTATTGTGAACAGGAGTGTACAGATATCCTTTCAAGACCATGCTTTCACTTCTCTTGGATTTTTATGCAGGATTCAGGTTGTAAGATCATGTGGCAATTTTATTTTTAAATTTCTGAAGAACTTCCACATTGTCTTCCATTATGTAGTGGCTATACCATTTTATAATACTACCAAGAGGGAAAAACAGTTCCAATTTCTTCATATTCTCACCAACCCTTGTTATTTTCTTTTTGCTGTTTTTGGATGGTAGCCAACCCAGTGGGTTTGCAGTGATAATCACATTATGGTTTCATTTGTATTTTCTAAGGATTAAGTTAAGTGAGCATCTTTTCAAATCCTTGTTTGCCATTTGTATGAAGAAACACTCTCCGCCCCCTTTTTTTTTCAGTGCTCTAACACTGAACTACAAACCCAGCCTGATATATCATCTTTTGATTTAGCAACAAAGAACTTTCTTTAAACTCTGTCCTTAAATATATGTTAGGTTTCAGGGGGTCTTACAAGGTTAGGCATTTAAAACCTAATGCAGTTTTTCCTTTCAGAGAACATAATTCATCTGTTCCCTCCTCAGAGATCTGTCAATTTTGCTTCATGTCATGTATAGCTCTACTGTATGGCACATATCATTTAAAGTTGCTATGTTTTCCTGGTGGATCACTCCTTTATTATCACATAATGTCTCTGATAATTTTCTTTGCTCATCATTTCTTTAATGATACTCCTGTCTCCTTTGTTCAAAATTAATATTTGCAGAGTCAATCTTGTTCCATTCTTTTCCTTTCCAACCAATCTTTGAAGGGAATTTGCATTTTTTCTATTACTTTACATGTATTACTTCACCAAATTCTCACAATCCTTTTAGACACCATTCTCAGTTTTAAAATGTGAAAACACAGGTAAAGTCAGATCAAAAACTTTCCAAATGTTACTCAAAAAGTAAAATTTAAAACCAATATAATCTCTGACTTTAGAAAATAAAAATACACAATACAAAATATTATTAAAAATTTGCTAAAAGGTTAGTAGAAAATTAACTTACTTCAAATAAAAGTCTATAATAACATCATTTAAAAATTCTCCTTCACTTAGACAGTGCAGGTCCTCATTAGTAACAGAGATGCCTCCCTTAGCTGGAGGTGGTGGATACACGATCAATCTGCAATTAAAAAAAAAAAAAACAAAACAGGCAAATAAACAAAGCTTTACAAATGTATATAACTGAATTATAATAGAAAAGAAAGAGAAATTCACAGCATTACAAATGTAAAAGAAATTTCTCACTTTTCTACAGGTCCAATGAAGATGGTATGGCTCTCTGCGGTTTCTTCATCATCATCAAAAAACTGGAATTCYTGTTTGTTTCTAAGCTGTATTTTGGATTCAAATGATACCTGGTAAAAGAAATTAAATTATCAATTCAAAGTCAAATGGAAAAATCTTCTATAAGAGCAAGTGCAAGGCACRGAAAGTTTTTAATTAAAAATGATTAAAAATAAAAAACTAGAATAGTATGTCTGGATCTGTATTAAAAACAATAAACAGGTTGGGCATGGTAGCACACCGCTGTATTATCACCTACTAGAGAGGCTGAGGCAGAAGAACCACAAGTTCAAAGCTAGCCTGAGCAACTCTGTAAGACCGTCTCAAGAAAATTTAAAAAGAAGGCTTGGAATGTAGCACAGTGTTAAAGCATTTGCCTCACATGTGCAAAGGCCCAGGATTCAATTCTCAACACAGAAAAAAAAGGAGCAAGAGTAGGGGGTCACTTTCTTTTATCTTTAGCTTCTAGACAGAGACAGTATACTAATATGTTAATAATGACTTTCCAGCATCTTATTAATATAAGATTTCTACTATCCATAATAGATCAGATTATGGTAGTATAAGATTTAAAGAACCTTTAAAAAAAAACAGAAGTGGGTTTGTTTTCTTCTAGCAGTGAAGGCCTACCTAAGTTCAATGTTTTTAATGCCTTGGCAATCCATAATATGTGGGGCAGAAGCTTAGGGAACATAGTTTAATAAGCTCTCACCCTCTACAAGATTTAAATGAAATAGAGGCTCCTTAGAGGAAGAAGCCTTCGATTGAAATATAAAGTCCATTCCAGCTGTCTTATGGCTTTTGCTACTCTTTTCTTCCTCTAAAGCATTATCTCCTGTAGCCAACCCTGCAAAATGAGGAGGATGATTCCCCTTCCTCCTGCTTTTTATCCCAATCCACTGTGTGAGACCTTGCTCAACTATCACTAAGATGGTGTTTGGACAGTCAATTTCTGTGTATATACAAAGGCTGAGAGATTTGGCCCCAATAAATTAAGTCAGCAAAATTTTAGATGCTGTGGTAGTGTTATAATAATACTAGGGCATTTGGTTCATGTGGCTTCAGAGTTACCTAACTATATGAGTAGTTCCTATAACTGGATATATACATTGACAAGGTCAAACAATATGTATTCTTCCCTTCCCAAGTTTTCAATCATGTATGCATATATTAAATATAAAGCATAAAACCACACACAAATGACCAAAATTCCTCCAAACCTAAGACTCAGGGTAAATAATTGATTTGAATGAAGCAGTGTGTGTATGTGTACATTGGGAATCTTGTTCCTAAATTAGATGCTACAAGATAGTTCACACATCACATATAAAAAGGAATTAATTCTAAAAKGGAATTTAAATGAAAGTCATTATTATAAAACATGTCCCCTTAAAATTACTCATTACTCAAAATAAATTTAACATAATTACAGTTTTAACTTTATTTTCTTTTTGCACACAACTTCCTTTGATGCTCTCTTCATAGCTTCKGGTGCAGGCAACAAGTCTGCTATTGGCTTCTTCGAAGGGAATTTTTGCAAAAAAATTGGGAACATTATTTTTTATACCAATGTCAGTAATGATGCTTTCAAATACCATATTTGCCTGAGGATCAAGGCCATTTTGAAAAATTAAAATTATATATTGTTCCTCCGAAT